GAGGACAAGAGGAGGACAAGGCCTGGACACAGAGCCCAGCCACAGAGCCCAGCGACAGAGTTCAGGGGTGCGGCCAGTGAGTCTGGCCGGCTTTTTTTCTAAGATAGAACCACAACAGTAAACTGTTTGGGGAAAAGTTCATTGATGAAGCAAACGCCCTACCAAGAAATCGATTTTTTACTAATATTGGTCAAAGCGAATCGTATTGAAGCTGTTCGGGGTCTATGCTTGTATAATTCTTTTTAAACGGATGATCATTCCATCCCCCTTGCACAGGTCCTTATGAAATGGGGATCCTGGTGACCTATAAAATGACTTTTCCAGGATTCACTTCATAAAAAGCACAATGTTTCCGGAAATCGGAATTTTGAAAAAAACCTATGCATCTTGTCTCGTCGTTTCATAAAAAGGTCGGCTCCTGTGTACCTTTTATAAACAGTGAATTGTTGTTAACATAGAGACAGCTGGATGTTGGTTGCTCATTCTATAAACAAGTAATGGTGTGAGAGAATAGAACCATTTTATGATTAAAGGTTTATAAAATGGGTTTTGACAGTCTTTGGCAGGGGAAAACTATTTTACAAACCATTCCCTCTGCCAAAGAGCTGGAGGGTGTGGACAAATACGAGGGGCCTTGGCAGGGAAAATTATTTATAAAATTGTTTGCCATGTAATTCCTGGGAGGGTGTGGACAAATACGATGGGCCTTGGGAGGGGGAAACATGTTTACAAAATGGGTTCACCATGTTTTCCCTGGGAGGGTGTGCGCAAATACGCTGGGCTTTGGGAGGTGAAAATGTTTATAAAATGGGTTTACCATCTTTTCCCTGGGAGGGTGTGCACAAATACGATGGGCAGGGTGAGGTTTATAAAATGAGGCGATCCAACCTCCGCGTTTTGGGTCACTTTTTTTGCGCTGTGGTTGGCTCCTGTATTTTCACTCCATGTAATATGTACACTTTTACCATGCACATATGTATAGGATGTCATTGCACCTACCTTCGCAGCTCGCGGCCCAAGAAGGATTCGCAGCTGAACGGCTGTTTCTATAGGTTATCAGCCGTAGTGCTCTAACCACAGCCATGGACGCGCCAGCCGGTCTCGCGACTGAGCCCAATGTAGATCTAGATGATCCCATGGGTTCAGCCCCGGTCACGGCATACTTCCAATTCGTACAGCAAAACATCCAGCAAGTGTACAATGGCAACGAGGATGCTATAATTGCTGAGGCTGAACGAAGACACAAGGAGGTATTAGCACAATGGATGGACATGGTAAAGCCAAGTTCCACCAGGCGATTCTTGAGGTTGAAGGCAAACATCATGAAGAGGTTAGTTCAGTGAGAAGGCAAGCCCAGTCTAGCTACGATAAGTTGCAAGCAGAGCTTAGCGCTGCCAAAGCACGGATATTCAAGCTAGAAAACGACAGAGCATTGGAAGCTGAAGCAAAGAAGGCAGAGATGGATTCTCTCCGCACACAACTTACACTTGAGTGTCAGCAAACAGTAAATGCAATCACAGAAAGTGCTGAACAGGGTGTAGTGAAACTTCGTGCAGAGTTCGATGAACGAGAGCTCAAACTTCAGCGTGATTTGAGAGGCAGAAAATGACAACTATCGCCTACAACAAATCATTGATGATCTAAGGGCAGACAACAAGATCACTGGCGAGCCAGAGTATGTTCCTACAAGTGTAGTTGCTTCACCGGTCGAAACACCTAGGGAAGGCGAGCGTGAAAAGAAAGGTACCTTAGAGACCATTGCAGCAGAGGCTAGTGCACGTCTGAGCGGTTTGTTTGGACCTAAAAGGCCAACAGCCACCTTCACTGGTGATGCCCCAACTGGGGCAGCTGCACCAATCAAGCCAGTGCTCCCAGTGTACGGAGGCACTACTGCAGATGGTGGCAAAACACCGACACACGTGTTCCATAGTCCTGCACCTTCGATCCGTGAGCCCCACAAGCCAGCTTCATCAGGCGCCATCACCTCTGAGCAGGTGATTGAACTGGTCACGTCACTCACTCAAAGAGAATCAGACGAGAAACCAAAGGTCAAGGAAGCAGATCATATCAAGTTGAATGATATGCCAACTCCCGAAACCTATCGGCAATGGAAGCATCATGTGAGGGACGAAATCAAGTCGTGTTCGGACAAACCAGACGCGGCCTGGGACTGGTTGATGGAGGTTTACAACACCGTGGATGAAAGAGACGTTTTGGAAGAGCGGTTGTCAAACCCTGGAAAGTTCACAACGTTGGATACCAAATTGGCGGCCGCATTGACCAGAAGTGCAAAGGGTGATCTAGCAAACCGGATCATCAATTACAAAGAAGAGAAGGCAAAGCTAGGCATCCAGGTTCGCGGAAGGATGATTCTTCTCATGTTTGATGATAAGATGACCTCGGAAGGATGACCTCGGAAGAAGCAGGTAGCCTTTACAGGGTTGAAGACCTCCTCAATGTGGTGAAGGTAGGCGACACCGTGGCGGATTTGAAGCGCTTCATCAACCGCTGGGACGCTACCATCGCCGGTATGCCCGAACCACCGCACGAAAACGTACTCCGGGATATCCTTTTGAGGCAGATCCGTAATAGTACAATCCTGAGGTATGACATCGATCTGTTTGATCGTGCAAAAGAAGGTGATCACCACCGGTCTTACAAGTTCCTACTGCAAAGCATCAAGGACCTGATAGATCGTGAGCGCCTTCGAGAGAATCGGTCGCGCATCGCTGAGCGAAATCGGCTCAAGCCAGGTGACCGACATGAGAAGAATGCAGCCCCAACCGTCGATCCTCGTCGAAAGCGTTCACCATCGCGTGGACGACCGACCTCCCGGGAGAAAGGAATTTGCTGGGCCTTTTTGGAGGGTAAGTGTGCCGAAGGGAAGGAGTGCAAGTTCAAGCATGAGAAGCCCAAACGTGACCCTTCCAAGAAGCGTCAACCATCTCGGGAGCGGAATGAGTCAAGGGATAAGAGTACAAATAAGGAGAAGAAGTGTATGACTAAGGAAGAGATGGCAAGGACCCCATGCAGGTATGATCAACAAGGTACTTGTAGAAGAGGAGACAAGTGCTTTTTCAAACATGGAGAGAAAGCAGCACCGGCTCCAAAGACGAAGCCACGGAAGGAATCCCCAAAGCCAGGAAAAGCAAAAGGGGATCCTAAGAACGCTGCCATTTGCCTGAGCAATCGGTTCGCATGTCTTGCAACTGGAGTGCCTGGTCGATCCTGTCTCAAGAAGCCCTGTCTCCCACCAGCGCGGAAAAGGTCCAAGTCATCCGTCCGAAGGATTACGTTCATCATGAAGCCCGAAATTCGCACTATCCCCGCTCGCGGGGAACACTGCAAGATGGTCAAGCGATCGCGCAAGTACAGTGTGCATTTTGCCACGAGCGATCGTGTGCCCAAGAGCGACCCAAAGACAACCAACATGGCCAAAGTAAAGGCTAGGCAGTTGGCTGAAGTTGTTCGAAATTTCGATCACGCAACAGTGCCCTCATGTCGCTTTCTGTGCACCGAGTCATCGCTCACATGTCGTGCCTGCCGAAGTTTGATCAAGTTGAAAACATGTCCTACTACAATTCCGACAATTGTTGCAAGTCCGGCACCAAGAGAGGGCAGGTTTTCATGGCTCGTCGATTCAGGGAGCGAGCAAGACCTCCTCAGCAGGAAGGTCATGGATGCTGCTGGTGCAGAGAACCCTAGAAGGGCCCCTCACACCATCAGTTTGATCACTGCTAATGGATCGACCGAAGCTAGTGAAGTAGCTGATGTACAGATGAAGCAGCTACTGGAACCCTGCACACCGTACCTGCTGGATGAATGC